AAATTATTTCAAGAGTGACAATATTTCTTTACTAGATCTAGTATTATGATTCATATCTTTTTCATCGATAGATCTCCTACACTTATGGCGTCAAGGAGTATCAGTAGATATATTTGGTCCATGTTGGCCGGGGAAGGTACATGGGACCTAGTCACTCTTTTATGATCGGTTGATCAATAGATGTATTTGGCAGATTGTTTGCTAAATTTTCGCAAATAGATTATCTTCTGAACTTCCAGTTCAGTCTAACTAATACGTGGATTTAAATAGTGAAGATGTTTTCATTCTATGAAATTTCTTGGCATTCCATTAAAAGCTACGGAGTAGTATATTATCTCCCCCTAATGCCGAGAAACCATCTTCATTAGGAATGCAGTCAACGTACCCCATTATATGTATTGATCCCCTATCATGGGCTTTCGGTATTTAATCGATAGACGGATGTTTCTTTGATAGCCCTTTTAGAGGTACGTTGTGGTGGTGATATATAAAAAAAAATAGACTGCGCACTAAAAATAACGCAGATAGAGAAATGTTACTTTTGAAACCACGTATTAGGTGAAAAGGGGGGTATATAGCAATCATTGAGGGATTGATTTGTGATATGCAGTGAGTTGGGTAAAAAGAAGAACTTGACTCGTAGTAATGTCATAGCAATCCTTCGGGGATTGATGGGATAGGTGGACCATTTTCGGTCAAGAATTTATCGTCAAAGTTCATCCTAAAGGGTGACTTAGAGAATTAAAGTCCTTAATTTACCTTCTGGGCAAATAAATATACAAAAAAAAAAATGAGGGCTATAAATTTAAATATCATATGCCCAAATCTCATGTCAAAGAGTTTCTATAGCAGAAACTAACACTGTAAACATGTCATAGCCTTTAATTATTATCATATGCAAGCTAAGGTTTAGCAACGACAGGTGCAACCTAACCATATTGAGAATTCATGCTATTTTCCCACTTATAAGTTGGGTGATAAATCTCAATAGCTATGGCCTATAGCAAATCATAAATTCCCAACAAGAGAAATAACAAAATCTCTTATATATGAACATAATCAAGAGATTATATGCTAAATGATGTCAATTAAAGAGAAGCACATGCAATATGTGATATATTGTCCATTATGTCTTGGACACCAAAAACTCAATTTAGTCATGCACATCATATTTGGTACACAAGGCATGACATGACAAGAGATATTCTTATTAATTCATAAATTAGAAAAATGATAGAAGTACCGTTCGCCGAAGAATAATGAGCACATGTTTGCTTGCCGGGCCCATTCATTCCTATTTTTGGGGAGTCAAAAACAGTACTTTTCCAACCAAGCTCTCATTTTATCTCATAGTTTCATACAAGTATGAAAGCATCACAAAATAGCAAGATATACAAGCTGAAAACAGCAAAAATTTTCAGAATTGTGACCTGAATTTCAGAATTTTCTAGGGAAAAATGGTAACACATTTTGGCACAAAATTTTTCAGATATGTACTTCATCAAATCTAGAACGTACGCAAAAATTTTCATGCCAATCCAAGGTCTAAAAATATTTTTCCCGAAATTTTTCCCAACATTGCTCCAGGCAGAAAAATAATTGACAGCACACTGCCAAAACTTTACAGAATTTTCTGGGATAACTGGAGCATATTTTCAACAAAAACTTTTTATAGATATCAAATGACACAAGTTTAGGTTCTCCAGGAAAAATTTCATTCCAAAAGGAGTTCAAGAAGTATTTTTCACGAATTTAATTTTCAAACTGCGGCGGTCAGAATTTTCAGGCAGTGATTACTATTAAAAAAATTTCACAATTTGTTTGCTTCAGGCAAACCATCATGATGTGAGTCTTTTTCAAAAAAAATCATGATGTGAGTCAATTTTGACTTTTGGACAGTAGCATAGCATTAGAAATAGAAGTTGCAAACTTCATTCATGAGTCATAAATCACCTTAAAGATTATCAATCCCATTTGAGGTCTTCTAGACCTTTATTAAAAACGATCCGATGACCAAGCATATTGCCAAGTAGGAAAGGCTCGGAACTCATAAAGTACATTCCTACAAAAAAAAAACTAAAATTTTGATGTCTTTTAAAAAAAACAATGACATTCAAAATACTTATTATAATCTGGTCATGTACTACTACAGGAGTACAAGGTGACTATCACATATGACAATGAGACCCACACTATTTTAAATTATTTTTAGTTATGTACTTCTACTAAAGTACAACGATTTCATGTACCATCCGAAAAAGGTACCATTCGGGAAGTAAAACCCGTCTAGAAAATTAAACATAGAGAAGTAAATTCTGAATTGTCAAATAATTTTGGGTGACCCACGAGAAGTAACTTCTCAGATAATAGACAAGGGAGAAAGGAGGATCATTTCTATTCATTCATCTGCTTCCCTTCATATTACAACAATACATATATGTAATATATATTTGTAACGGAAGGTAATAATGGTAGACATAAATCTGACCGTTACATCAGTTACATAATCAATCTCATAATGTCCACACTTAATTATATTTATAACACTTAGGTTGATTTACCTCCTTCTAGTTCTTACCGGCTAAGGTTATAAGGAGAGTTCACCCAAAACGTACATTCGGGTAGTGACCGTGGGCTTTTTTTTTTTTTTTTTTTTTTTTTGGTAAATCAAAGATAATAATATACAAATGTGTGGGTCCCAGTAGGGTAGTGGCGAAAAGTATAGAGGCGGTGGGGCGAATAGACTTTTCAAACTTTTTCATAACAATGAAGATTAAGCGGCTTTTATAAAAATAAATTAAGTATAGAATATATTTATGCTTGAAAATATTCTAACATAAAATGTGGTGCACTGCGGAATAAATGTACGTAAGAGTAAGATGTTAGAATATTGCAAATGATTTGGAGAAAGAAAAAAAAAAAAAAAAAAGCAGTATGCATGTAAAGCAATAAAATAAAGTAAAGTAGAGAGTTAGAATTTTGTAGTGGCTCGAAGGTGATATAGTCTTTCTACTCCACTCTACTCCTATATCCTTAAAGAATTCACTATATCAATCACTCAGACACAATATTGATCGAACAACAAAGTGCTAGTTCATCAACTCAACACTTTTACAACTTCTTGTTTAGTGCCTTGAAAACCAAGCCAACACTAATACTACTTTGAGTGCTTCTGCACCAAGCTTGAATTTCTCAGGGTTTTCACAACACTCTTTTATTACTGTGCCCTCTACCTACACTCAATAGGAAAAGTGTTTACAAGAAAAATAAATTTTTTTCTCCAACTCTTTAGAGACTTTTAGAATAATAAAGCTTTTGAAATTGCTAAGTCTCTTTTCTAGATATTTCTTAGGAAGAATGAAACATGGAGATTTTGATCTTGATGTTTTCTTTTGTATATTTTCCTGTATCTTTACTTGTTCTTCATATTCATGTCTTTATGTCATTTTCTAGAAAATCAAATCTATCTGTTGAAGTGTGATAACTTTGATTTTAAATTCTTGGTTGTTGTAGCTTGATTTGATGTGTTGAAATTTTTATCTTCACTTTCGGCCGTTGCAATAGATCGTTTTGACATTTTTAAAATTTTTTCCATACAACTTGGTCTAGATCAGGCTTTATTGACTTTTACAACCTTTCATTATTTGGTATGTATCTTTCTTGAAACTTGTGTAGACTTTTGAATACAGTAGAGTTTTATATGAGATCGATGTCTCAAAAACCTTGCTGCATAATGGTTTGAGACCTTCGCTACTTCGAAAAACTCCGCTGCTTATTGCCTTATTAGCCAATCTCAAGAACTCTGCTGCTCATTTCTTCTTCTTTGATATCTTGCTGCTTTAATTAATGCAAGAATTTTGCTGCTTCTTTAATTGAAAAGACTCTTCTCAATTAAGAACCTTGCTGCCATGATTTTCGAAATCTCTTCTTCTTTAATCTTTTGAAATCTTCTAGGAATTTTGTTGCTTCTAAATCCTTTTAAGAACTTTTGCTGCCTTTAGTAAACCTTTACTGCTAAGATCTACTTGACACTAAGATAATTTTGAGCAAGCAACTTACAAAATAAATTTGACGGTATAATTTTTCAAATTAAAATTACATTTTTAACTCGTCAAAATCTATAACATATATTCCTAACAAAATGTGATATTTCAAATGATGTATAATTTAACCTAGTCAAAACATCCATCTTTCAATTTCTTCAAAGTTCAAATGGATTACTTTATCCTAGCTATGAGTTAAGTTGGTTATTAATCTATTTCTGGGGTGGGTAAAAAACTTTTTACATCATATACGGTGAATTAATTATTTAATTTGAATCTTAATTTTTTATAAACAATAAAAATTTAATATAAATTGTTCAATTTTTATGACAAATCAATAATAAAAATTATATTGTATAGTTCATTTTTATAAGGTGGTTCATCCTCATTTATTTGAAAGTATTATATTTTATTCTTGTTATTTATATATTTTAATTAGGTCTATAATAAAAATATTTATAAATTATTTGATTATGATATATAGTGTATATTTTACCCTTATCCGTTTCAAGGGTTAAAAAAAATAAAAAATTCATGCAACAAATAGGCGCCAATTTACAATCGATTAACGGCAAAGGGGATTTCATCAAGCTTATCATATGCTATAACATTACTTAGTTTAAGTATACTAGATTTGAATTTCTGTCACACATTTTATCAAACAACTTCTGCCTTTCAACCTCAAAGAAGATGACTACTCTGATATTCAATAAAGTCGAGCTAAAATGGCCCGGCTCAACCGGTACTCCATTCTCACATGTAACTTTAGTTTCTTGGTTTTTCCCGTGTGTGTGTTTTTTTTTTTTTTTTTTAATTATTGCTAGATGTTTAGAATTTGTAAATGCAATTATATATATAGATATCTTCAACTATCTAATTTTGTGATGATTATGGCATTAACAATTAATGGTGGGTGACAGTGATTGCCGAATTGAAGCAATGTTATCAAGAAACAATGGAAAGGGTTGATGTCAAAGGAGTAGTCTTGACTGGTGAGTGTTAAAGCCGTACTTGGTACAGTATAATACTCATACACAGAAGCTTTATAGATGTAAAAATGAAAAACGCAAACATTTCTTTGTTGTCACAATGCTTGTTTCTAATAGAAAGAAATGAAAATTTAGTATTTTCAACATAATGGATACTGCTATTACCTTTGCCATTTGACTTTATGCCAACCTTGCTATGTATCTTTTGTGAGCAATGTTGTAGAAGGCGCTAGGTGCTAGTCGGGCGTCTGGGGTGCGCCTAGCGCTTAGAGCGCACTAGTAATTCGACTATATCGTCTCCACTTTTCCAATTCAGGGCTGTGAGTGGTTAGACTATAATCTCACAAACTAGTCAATTACATAGTTAGATGGTTAGTTGGGTACATGACTAGAGAAATATAGATGATGAGCAACCGAGCAAGCAAAAAAAAAATGACTCGACCGAGTTGGAAACCTAGTTGGCCAGCTAGTTGGCCGACCGACTAAAAGCCGCCTAAGACTGAAATCGCCTTGGCCTAGGGGCGCCTAGTGCCTAGCCGACCGCTTAGGCTGATTTTTAAAACACTGTTTGTGAGAGATTAGAAAAGTTTGCCTATGTTTTACATGTTATGGCCTTTGTTTTGTTTGCTAATTCTGTAATTTATCCTTTACAGGCATTGGTGGCAAATTTTGTGGTGGTCTTGACATTGATATTATGCGAAAAATTCACAAGACAGGTAGTTGTAGTTACATTGCTTGTTCATAACATATAATTAACTTTGGATTGAACATTAACTTTCCTTTTTATCTTTTTTGATCTACCAGGGGATATCTCATATCTGCCAGATTCTTCAGTTGACCTAATAATGAACACAATCGAAAGTAATATGTTTGGTGCAATTAAATATTTTTTTATGAAATCTTGGGTTGTTTACTGATGTTTTTGCATCATTTTTCTCACGTTTTGTTTGTTTAGATGCCAAAAAGCCTATTGTTACGTTGCAGCCATTCATGGATTTGCCCTTGGAGGGGGCTTGGAATTGGCTATGGTTTGTTTCTAGTATCAACTTTAATGCTTGAATGGAATCTACCAAATTCTTGAGCTTCTGAGTTTTATGAGATTCATTTGTTAATTCCATATAGGGATGCAATGCTATAATTGCAACTCCAAGATCTGAACTTGCTTTACTTGAGCTGAAGTTTGGAATAATTCCTGGTTGTGGAGGTATTGCTTAGCTTGTTATCAATTTGACATCCTATGACGCGTTCAGTGTTAATTTTAGTTCATATTCTATCTTCTGCATAAAAACTTAGATTTTTGTTTGTATGTTATAAGGCACTCATTGTCTTCCCTGACTTGTTGGAGTATCGAAAGCTATCGAGTTATTGATGGTAAGACTTTTGAATTTTAATGCCAAAACAGGAACTTTTAGTGGATATGATGATGTTAACACTTACCTATCTGCAACTGCATTTTCAGACAACCAATAATATAACTTCTGAAGAATGAAAGGAACTTGGCCTTATTGATGTTGTTGTATCTTCTGAGGAGCTCTTAGTTGCTTCTCATCTCTGGGCACTTGATATTGTAGAAGGGAGAAAATCTCACATCAATACTCTTTAGAAGACCGATAAACTTGAGCCCATCCATAAATCTTCTGAGATTCTGAAAACTGCAAGACAACATGCGATGAAGACACATACAAAGTTTCCTCATCACATTGAATGTCTTGATGTTATTGAAGAAGGAATTATTTCTGGAGGACTTTCAGGTGTATTGAAGGTGAAGCTTTCTATAAATACATCCTTTTGTTGATGGGTATATGTCTTCATGTTTATTAACAAAAAAAAAAAAAAAAGAACAATTATTTCACTTTACTACTTGCAGGAACGAGAGGTATTGAGAGAATGAGAGTACTAGTACTGTCGAAACCTTGTAGAGGTCTTCTTCATGTCTATTTTGCTGAACGTGCCACTTCAAAGCTACAATTGTCTTTCTCAATATCAAAATATGCATTCATGACTAGTACCCTTTTTTTTCTTTTCTTTTTTTAATCAAAGAGAGAGGTGTGAACCGGCCGACTACTAGGCATAAACACATGCAATCCTTATACAATGGTGGGTCACAGTGCACTCTGGACCTTAGTGCATGTGTATGTCTATTATGTTGTCAGTTTTTGTGTATTGTGCTATGAATTTTGTATTTGAAACAAATTAGTAATTGTGTCTTTATGTTATAAAGTGTTGTGTCTTGTGTTGTGAAATTATGTGCCTATGAACACAAATTTTATACCTAAATCAGATTTGAAAAATAAATAAATATATAACATGTGTATATGTCTTGTGTTGTGATTTTTTGATTGTTTCTTCCTTCGTTCATATCCTTCATCTCTCCCTGTTCGGATGAGTTATAACGGCAGTGACAAAGTCCTTCATCTCTCCCTATTCGGATGAGTTATAACGGCAGTGACAAAGCGACAGTGGCATACAGTTCAAGAAACCAGACAACAAAAATAAACACAACCAAACAACAAATATACTATAATAGATTTTTTTTTGGTGTTCGGATGAGTTACAACGGCAGTGACAAAGCGACAGTGGCATACAGTTCAAGAAACCAGACAACAAAAATAAACACAACCAAACAACAAATATACTATAATAGATTTTTTTTTTGGTGTAAATCGCGAGGTGGTCCGGGTCCCCGACTAATTCCCGTTCGCTCCGAGCTCCGGAAAACACGAGAGCTGGCCCAAAGGGAATTATCATTTCTAGGAATCAAACCCGGGTTATCCCGGAATCCTCCCCACAAAGAGAGCTCATTTGCCACTCGAGCTACCCTGTTGGGTTAGTATAGATTATTACTTGGGTTTTTTTTTTTTTTTTTTTTCCAGCAATGATAAAAAGAGGGTGAATTCTGAAGATGAAGGATTCAATGTCTTCGCTCAGAGCTCTGTTCGGCGAATTAATCTGTGGTGCGATGGTGGCTGGAGGTACTCGATCGGTGGCGTGGAAATTTCTCCGGAGCAGCAACACGCACTACTCTGGTTCTTCTTTCTTTTATTTTCTTAATTTGTTGCGCAATATGATTCTATATACTCATCTCAATTCCAATTTATTATGTGACTATGTACTGCAAATTATTAAGGTTAGTGCCTAAGTATGACACTAAATGCAGGCTTAATTATGATGCTCATTCGGTGATTGAAAATGGCGTCTAAGCTTCAGCAAGTTTCTGTAAAAATTTTCCGGCGTCGTAGAAGATAAGAAACGGAGAAGGAAAGAAAAGAGTAAATGACTAAATTGCCTTCAAAATTTTATCCATTAAAATTTTTCGGTCAGAATTGGCTGGTAATTTGGCCGGTGTGACCAAAATTGATAAAAATTGCATAGTCAAGGTACTATATTAACATTTTTGATAATCAAGTGTTGCAATGAACACAAGTGCAATAGTCACTGGACCAAAATTGAAATTTACTCCTTTAAAGTATATCAAGATAAGATTATATTGAAATTGTTCATGCATAGATAATTGAATGTTAAATTTGCGTATTTAAATAGACAATTCTAGGTTTACAAATGCAAGATAATATAGTCAAGATTGATTATAATTTTCAATAAAATAATTGTATAGGTATGGTTGAAACCAAATATGGGACATAAGGGAGAGCAAATAAAAATTACGGCATAAAATATTAAATATGTACTAATATTGAAGAGCTAAATGCTATTGTCAAACAATGACAGTGCGAGATAGTTTCCACTTCAAATTGTTGTGTGATTTGAATATTCTTTTTGTCAATAAATCCCCCAAGTAGTTAATATGATTGACTTAATTATATTTTTTATTTTTTTTAAAACAATTATTATTATTATTATTATTATTATTATTATTATTATTATTATTATTGTTATTAAAAATATATATACACTTAGGTCATTTTACATGTTAATCTAAACAGCTAATTTTTTCAAATATCTTTTTACCAACCGTTGATATAATTCGCTGGTCAAATTTATTAATATAATCCGCTAACGCTAACCGCTAACTGCTGGTTGTCAAACAAGGACATTGCGAGGTAGTTCTCACTTCAATTTGTTGTGTGATTTGAATATTCTATTTGTCAACAAATCATTCAAGTAGTTAATATGATTGACTTTATTAATTATATTTTTTTAATTTTTTCATGGTATTAATAAAATACTTGGTAAATAAATATATAGCATTATTTTGTATTATAACTTTGATATTTAATTAAAAAATAGTGCACAAAAAAATATAATAGACAATGTAGTGAATATAATCAATTGATGAATTTGAATGTAAAGAATTTTTACATTGGAGAAATATAAAGGCAATATATCTAATAAAATTATTTCTCTTAATTAATTTATTGATAATGAATAATTGTTTTTAATAAAGACATTGTAGGGACAATGTAGCGAATATAATCAATTGATGAATTTGAATGTAACAAATTTTTATATTGGAGAAAAATAAATACAATACAACTAATGAAATTATTTCGCTTATTTAATTTATTGATAATGAATAATTTTTTTTTAAATAAAGACATTGTAGACACATAATTATAAATTAAAGAAATGCATATGTATTTTTTTTGTTGTAGCTACTAAATTATTATTTATAATTTAATAAGAGTAAAATAGAGTACTAATTATGCTAACTTTGATTGCGATGAGGTTCGAACCTAAGACCTTTTTTTTATTATTGAAATCAATGAGTAAGTTAACAGTGAACTAACAGAAAAAATAATATTTAACAGGAAAGTTAATGGATAATCATATTCATTAAGGATAAATTAGGAAATAGGAAATCTTAAGGAAAAATTAAAATCTGGTCAATCTGAGCCATTCATTTAATTAAAAATTTGAGCCATTTTTTCTACCCATTATAGGCCTAACTCTCTTGGGCTCTTTAAATAAATATATAACATTATTTTGTATTATAACTTTGATATTTAATTAAAAAATAGTTCACAAAAAAAGATAATAGACAATGTAGTGAATATAATCAATTGATAAATTATAGCTTGTATCTGTAGTGAAAAAGCTCCGTATTTCTCGTAAGATCCGATCGTGCGTTCCGATCGTCGTTGCTGATAGTGGCCCCTCTCCCTTGATCGTGTCGAGGAGAGTGTCTCCCTAGCAATCTAGGGTTTATATTCCGGTTCCTGATGGCGTCTGCATTGATTGTTATTGTTTATCTCTTGGTAATCGCTTCATATCAATCACTCCGAGCCAAAATGGATATGAGTCAAATCGAGAAATGTTGTGCAGATCTTAAGATCGCCGAAGAGGAGACGAGCAGCTTGGAAGCGCCTGATCTACGGACTGTGCTGGATTCGGGTTTGCGTCACAATTTGGTGGGGAGATTTCTCACGGACAAACTGATCAAATTCGATCATATGCAACAAGTCCTGGCGTCGGTCTGGCGTCCGGTCATGGGTGTGCATGTGGTTTCTCTGGCGGACAATCTATTCCTCTTTCAATTCCTACACCAGAAAGATTTGAGGATAGTGTTAGACGACGGCCCGTGGTCGTTTGAGAATCAATTATTAATCTACGAATTGGTGCCGGAGGAGATGCAACCATAGGAGGTTGCTCTAAACACAGCTGATTTCTGGGTCCAAATTCACGGACTTCCGGCGATCTACGCATCCACGGAATTTATCACTCAGGTCGAAAATTATGTCGGGCATTTTATTGCGACAGATTCTGGTAATTTTGGGGGCTCCTGGCGCAGTTTCTATCGAATTCGAGTCAAATTGGATGTGACGATCCCGCTGAAAAGACGCATAAAGCTGAATCGAAGGGATGTCACGTATCAATGGATCACTTTCAGGTACGAGAGACTTAGTGTTTTCTGTTTCTGTTGTGGGCTGTTGGGTCACACAGAAAAATTTTGCAAGAGGGTCTATGAAGAAGGGGTGGAGCCGGAGGCGTTTCCGTTTGGTGTCTGGATGCGGGCAGGTCCGCGTCGCCAAGCCAAACCGGTGGGTGCAAGGTGGCTGTTGCCATCCATGACACAAGTTTCAACGATGGGCACTGATACTGCAGCCGACCCAGCGTTGTCTCTAATGGCGATTGAAGTGGGTGCAGGCTTACATGGGGATCTGAAGCGGCGCAGGGGGGATAGGGAGGTTAATGATAGTTTGTAGGGGGTGGATATAGCGATGGGTGAGTCTTCAAAAAACATGTCGACGGCGGGTCTATAGAGCCAGGCTCACCCATCCCAATGAGTGTCTTGAGCTGGAACTGCCGGGGAATGGGTGGAACCCGGACAGTTCGCGAACTCTTGGGCTTAGTGTCCAAGGAGCAAGACAGTTTCGTTTTCTTGATGGAAACGAAAGCAAGCGAAGGACAGGTGGAGCGGTTGCGGGTGTAGATGGGTTTTGAAGGGGTGTTGTGTGTGGAGCGGGTTGGTTTGGGTGGGGGTTTGGCATTGTTTTGGAGAGACGCTGACATGGCGACTCTATTAAGTTACTCACATAATCATATCGACATAGAGGTAACTCTTCCAGGCAAACCGATATGGAGATTGACTGGATTTTATAGTAATCCGGACAGGAACAGACGGCAAGATACTTGGGATCTCCTTCGGCAACTCAAGGATCGTTCGTCTCTTCCTTGGGTGGTCCTAGGCGATTTCAACGACATCGCCTGCCAATCGGAAAAACGGGGAGAGCATCCTCATCCAGGGGCACTCCCTAGGTGTAACACCCCGTGTTACAGTCTTTAATTCCGGATTAATTATTTAATTAATTCCGTTAATGATAATTAAAAAAGATTTTTTGAAGGTCAAAATCACCGACCATCACCCACGGTAGGGTTGATTGCAGTGCTAGTGACTTCAAAAACTCCCATGCCTCTGTACGCCTATTACGTTCTGAATAGCCATAATAGCACGTCATACGCCACTTCGGAAAACCAGTCATAGTCACCTCAATATCAATATAATTTTTAGAATAACTAATAAGCCTTGCTGTGTTATTCTTCCGCCACAGCAAAGCGAGACCTCCCTTCAATTGAACACAATCAATATAAAAAAGACCATCAAAACCAAGATCAACACGAATACGTTCAGCATGTATCCATCCTACCTTAGTTTCCATTAAAAAAATAAAATCGGGCTTCTTACGCGACACAAGGTCCTTCACTTTACGAACTGTTCGTGGATTGCCCAAGCCACGACAGTTCCAGCTGAGGATACTCATGATGACGGGCGGGTCTGGGAACTAGTACCCGCAATGGACAAGTTTTTTTGGAACAACCTCAGTCATTGAAACATCCTCCTCACCCTCATATACATGTGCCACATCCCTCCCTTCTCGCCGTCTCTTCACCGAAGCCAACACAAACGGCTCAGGCCCCCGCCGGCTAGAATCCGAATCCACTGTAGTAGTGGCAGACAGTCCTCCCGGCAGTACAGAAGCCATGGTCGCTGCCACTTGCACTGGCTTACCATCCTTATCCAACAACCACGGCGCCCCTACTTTCCGTGGTCCCCTGCGTTGTCCGGCACGAAGTTCATCAGAATAGGGATACTTATCCAACGGATAGCCGCTTCCCTGGCCTTCAAACAGTACTTATGCAAGTGTCCCATCATACCACAGAAAAAATAGAAGTTATGCAATCTTTCATACTTAAAGCTTACCCAACAGGTCGTCTTATCACGTTTCAAGAGTTTCATACGGCGTTTGAGTGGCTTCGTAACCAGGGCGCATTTGCGAATCGGTCATCAATCTTAATGAAGCTCCCTAGGAAGTTACCAACCTGCTCTAGCATCATATCTGACGTATACCCTAACGGAAGCTCATGGACCTGAACCCACATATCAACAGTATCCAGCGGTACCGTAACCGGTATCACACCATCCTGGACTTGTTTGCAAACCAGTGTGTGATTTTCAAACGACCACGGACCACCATCAAGAACAAGCTGCATATCGGTCTCGTGATAAAAAACAAACAAGAATAGGCCAGGTTGTATCTCAGTGACCTAAACCCCCCTGACTGGCTGCCATACCGAGGCCATAACCTAGCTCATGTATTCCACTTTGATGATTTTTGAAGTCAAAAACCTTCCTACCAGACGCCACGTCGGACTGTCCGGCTCTCCGCTACCCTCAACCTATTCCACTGGTGCAAACACATCCTCCTCGTCCTCCAAGGCGATATTCGTCCACCGCGTCGTCCGCCCCGCTATACCGCCCATCACCGCTGCTTCCGTGTTGCCGTCCGTAGCCATAGTAACCGGCCACTGCTGTAGAGAAGAGAACGGAATCGTCGAGAAGCTTGATAACCTTCGTCGTCGAAGGAGAAAACCGAAAACCCTAGGAGTCGCGCTTCGGGAGAGAATATTATTGCGTCACTGCTTCGGATTTAGTTTCACGCATGAATATAATATATAAAATTATTCATAATATACCTTTTTTGACATCATTGTCAATATAAAAAGGATTAGCGTGGGTCTTCCTGGTCTCTTAGCTTTACTAAAAAGGATTTAATTTGGGTAGGATTCCCTTTAATTAATTAATGTGGTCCACCATGGATCGTGAACCCTTGCCCAAACTAGAGTCTTAAGCCTATTAGGAATAAAGAAAATAGACCTTTTACTAGTCAGATTCTAATTAGGAATCCTAGACCTATATATCTGTTAGGAATAAAGAAAGTAGGCCTTTACTACTCAGATTCTGATTAGGATTCCCGATTCTATAAATAGGGGATTAGAAGGCAATTAGAACCCTCACCACCCATAGTTATATTACATGAAATTATTCCCAAGAGATTCCCCACCACCAAGCCTAGGGAGATCAATCGGATGGAAATCTTAGGGAAGAACCTTAATAGCCAAGGGAGGATTAATTAAAGCTAAGAGGTAACCCATGTCTTAACAAAACCTATTTTCCTTGCTATATCTTATTCATTGGCTCCTTTGATATATGATTATGTGCTTGAGTCTTGATAGAGCTTTGCCTAGGGTTTTTGTGTTTATGTGATAATCTTGATGTTTATGTGTTAATCTTGATGCTTATATGATAATCTTGATGTTCTTGATACTATGATAAATTATATGAATGATCTTGTATTTTGATTATGTCTAGAGCCCTAGGGTAATAACGTGGATTTCGTATTATGTTATTCTTGGTATGTTTGGGGTGGGACTTTGCATGATCGGGTGTTGAGTCTTGGCATGTTTAGGAGTCGTGTTAGGATGTATTTGGTGTGATTCTTGGTTTAATTCAGTTACTTGAATACGTGGTACTGTCATTTATATTTATGTGTCTGGACATGGTTTCGGGTTCCACGAAAGATCCCGGGACCAAATATTACATATGAGTCAGTGGGGGATAGGTGGGGGCAAGGGTGCCCGCTACCTACCCGCTGCCCTTGCCCGATTACCAGCGGGCAGGCGACTGCCCGCCGGGCACCCGTTGGGATTGACGCCGCCGCCGGCGGGTGGTCCTCCACCCGCCGTCCACCCGCTGGAAAGTTGGTGGGTAAGGTGATGTTTTCTCCCGTCTGTTGTTTCCCCGTGTTCCGTTGTACCCTGTTTGTCGTGTGTGAATCTAGTTTGATGTATCGGGTACCGTTCTTAGGAAAAAAGAGTATTGTGTATTACATGCTAGATGAATTGGTATCCCGTTAGCCTAGGAGGAAGGTGTATGATCCCGTAGGAGTGTCATGGGTGGGTTAATGTAGTTTATTACATATGAGTTATGATGGGTTACGTGTTCCCCGAAGGTTCCCCATCGTTATGTGTTAATGTGGGTTGCATGTTGTTTGGCTTCTATGTTGTTGTGCATGATAACCAAATTGGTTGCGATCAATTGGCTATAGTGACTATCTGGTGGGTTGAGAACCACCAGGTATTAACTCGACCGGTTACGATCGGTCGGCTATACAGGCAGTTGGATTGGTTGAGAACAATCGGCTGTTTTATATATATATATATATATATATATATATATATATATATATATATATATATATATATATATATATATATGTATATATGTATAGGGCTGCGGTCCATAATCTGGTTGTGATCAGACACATATGCTAATAGGGCTGCAGTCCACCATTTGGTTGCGATCAAACGTTTTTTATACAAATGAGCTGCGGTTCAATGATTGGTTGCGATCAATCTCCTTGTGTTGCGGTACAAGTTAAAGTGCTGCGGGGCCGTGTCAGAGGACCCTCATGTATGGGCATGTGATTGGTCTTGCGGCACCACCATATGTGTGCACACCGTTACGTGTCTTGTTGTTGAGTGTGTGATGATGACTGAATAATGATATGATTGGTATTGTGTAGTCGTATGACCTTAGGATGCATGCTAGAATCTTTATGGTTGTGTCTAATTGTGTTGAACGTATCTGCTATTGCTTGTTGAGTCTGTCCTCGGATTTAAATTAGAGTTTCTTAGGATTATATATGTATTTCGGTTTCAAAATGGTTTTCCTTATACCTACCTATATTGTACTTAACGCGTTGGAGTGGGTTACCAGCATTATTCGCTGAACAAATATTATTTAGCTTTCAGTTATAGATGAGTAGCTTCGGAGCGCGCTAGTGGATCCGTGAACTTAGTTAGATAGTTCTAAACTGGATGAGATGGCCTGCGTGCCTTGATTTGTATTTGGTAGTTAGTTTAGCCTGTGCATTTGAGTTCTCCAGCTCAGATGTGGCATAGCACCCCGACTACTATGTCTAGTTATGCTCTGTTTGGGAACTAAAAAAGATTAGCCTTTATTTTATAAGTTTTAAATACCTTGAAATTTCGGGGTGTTACACTGGGAGACTGGCAGCTCGTTGATCTTGGGATGACGGGTGGACGATTCACGTCGGAGAAGGGCCGGGGGACGGATGCATGGGTGGAGGAACGTTTGGATAGAGTTGTGGCTTCAATAGACTGGCTAGAGATTTACGATGAGGCAGAGGTACAAAATGTCTGGACCTACAATTCTGAACAATGTGCCATCTTTTTGGACTTAGATACACGGCCGGTGAGGGCAACCAGGAGGGCGTTCAAATTTGAATCGGCGTGGTTTCTTGAGGAGGGGTGTGCCAAGGTGGTTGATGAAGCTTGGCGCCGGACGATGGGAATGTGTTTCCAGCAAAGGATAGCTGAATGTGGTCAGCGGCTTTGGAGATGGGGGGAGCATTACCGCCAGTTTGGGAATCGAATAAAGGTGCTAAAAGAAATTAACGTCTCTGAAGGAGGATAGGAACCCGCACGCAGTTTCAGAATTTCTGGGGGCAGAAGGGGAGTTGGAGGTTTTATTAAGGTAAGAGGAAATTTTCTGGAGGTAAAGATCGAAGCAACTATGGCTGGTTCATGGTGACCGAAACTCTAACTACTTCCACAAAGCAGCTTCGAGTCGGAGAAGACAAAACCGCCTGGCGCGAGTGAAAGACACGGAAGGGGAGTGGAAGGAGGGACAAGAAATGCATGGGGAAATTATAAGGCATTTCAATCATATTTTTCACTCCAGGCACAGTAACTCAGACCTGTTTAACCGAGTACATAAGCGGGTAACAGACAAGATGAATACCTCCTTGTTACAATCGTTTACGGTTCAGAAGGTCAAAGCGGCATTATTTTCAATGTCACCGGACAAGGCCCCGGGGCCGGACGGTATGTCGCCGGCCTTTTACCAGCATTTTTGGCCGGTGATTGGCCATGACTTATCCGTTTTAATCTTGAGCTGCATTTCCAATCGGAGGTTACCCGGGGGACTCAACGAGTCAAATATCGTTCTTTTACCTAAAAAGAAGAATCCCGAGAAAGTGTCTGACTTACGCCCGATTGCTCTATGCAACGTGGCCTACAAGATTTTGGCCAAAATGTTGGCTAATTGTTTGAAGGGATGTCTGGGGCAGGTCGTGTCACAATCACAAAGTGCTTTTGTCCATGAACGGTTGTTGACAAATAATATTATTGTAGCGGGGGAAATTGGTCACTTCTTACGAAGAAAGACTTGTGGGGCTGTGGGGTGGGCGGCGCTGAAGCTAGACATGGCTAAGGCGTACGATAGAATGGAGTGGAATTTTTTGGAGGGCATGTTGTTGGCTCTCGGGTTTGTGCGAGAGTGGGTGGACCTCTTGTTGTTGTGTGTCTCTTTGGTTAACTACTCCATTCAGGTTAATGGGGAGACAATAGGTACCGTCGACCCTACGAGAGGAATAAGGCAAGGGGACCCTTTATCTCCCAACCTTTTCATTCTATGTGCGGAGGGGTTGTCAGCCCTCCTTCAACAGGCGGAGGCACGGGGTGACATTCACGGTGTGAGGGTGGTGCGGGGGGCCCCGCCCGTCTCACACCTCTTCTTTGCTAATGACAGTTTGCTCTTTTTCAGGGCTAATGAGCAGGAGGTTATAAGGGTGCGAGAGTGTTTGGATGCTTATAGCGTGGCGTCGGGACAGTTAATAAACTACGTTAAATCAAATGTCGTGTTTAGCATGAATACTGCCGACGAGATGAGGAATGTAGTGGTGGAGCGAGTGGGGGTGCGTGTTGTGGGAGATTTGGGTCGTTACCTCGATCTTCCCCCGGTGTTAGGCCGGAACAAAATCGCTACGTTTCGGTACATTGAGGAGAGGATCCGGAACCGCATTGGGGCCTGGTAGAATAAATATCTATCCAAGGCAGGTAAAGAAGTGTTAATTAAGAGCATTGCTCAAGCTTTACCTATTTTTACCATGTCAATTTTCCTGCTGCCGGGTAGAGTGTGTGACACCATCGAGAAGATGTTGAACCAGTATTGGTGGGGTGGTGGCGGGGAAGGTAGAAAGGGTATTCATTGGTTGAGTTAGTCACAGATGTGTGAGCCAAAAGACAGGGGCGGGTTAGGTTTCAGGCGACTCCGGGAATTCAATTTAGCTCTAATTGCTAAGCAAGGATGGCGTTTGTTGATTTACCCTGAATCATTGGTCGGTCGTTTGTTAAAGGCCAAGTATTATCCTACCTGTGATTTCATGGAAGCACAACTTGGGGGTAACCCAAGTTATATATGGCGCAGCATTGTAGCCGGTCAAAAGGTTCTACGGTTGGGGATAGCGCGGCGAATTGGCAACGGTCAGGATACCAAAATATGGGGTTGGGATTGGCTTTCATGCACTGCAAATACTAAGCTAGTCTCGTCCAGTATTGAAGCACTAAGCGAGGCAAGAGTTAGTGGCCTCTTGGACAAACAAGGTAACTGGGATGTTGAGGTGTTACGTGATGTTTTCTACGCTGATGATGTACACGGAATTATGGCAACACCAGTGAACACACATCTTAGTGACTCTTGGAGATGGTTATGCGACATAAGGGGACTATACACAGTTAAACATGGTTACAAACTACTCACTTTGACTAATAATCCAAGCTCGGTCTATCATGCTTTCCTGCCATGGAAGTCTCTATGGTCGCTTCCGATCCCTCCCAAGGTAATGAATCTCCTATGGCGGTGTGCCCGTGGCATTCTTCCTCTGCGTGAGAATCTGAAATTGAAGAGGGTTTGGATAGGCCGGGTTTGTCCATTGTGCGGCTTCATTGCGGAGACGGCGGAGCATTTATTTTGTGACTGCTAGTTCGCGTAAAGAGTATGGGAGGAGAACGACGTTTCACAGGGGCAATGCATACATGAGTTTATGGACTCTATTCTGAGCTCTCCGAACGTCGAGGCTGTTGTCCGCCTAGCAGCAGTCCTCTGGGCGGTGTGGGAAACACGTAATGCGGTGATCTGGAGAAATGTTGTTCCTTCTACCGAGTGTATGAAGGCGCAGGTGCATGCCTTAAAGTTAGTTTGGAAAGGAGCGTTTGCACTCAATCGTACGAGGATGGTCGACGGTGTCTCTGCCCAGCAATGGAACCCGCCTCCCCAAGGTTCGCTCAAATGCAATATCGTCGCTGCTGTCATCCCTGGTGGCGTTGGCTACGGAGCGGTGGTACGCGATCACGTTGGTAGTTTTGTGGCTGCTAAGAGTGACCGATTGTCATGTGGTAGCGATCCTTTGATGGCAAACACCTTGGCGGCTAGAGAAGCTTTAATCTGGCTAAAAAGCCTTAGTCATAGCACAATAATTCTTGAGTCAGATTGTTTGATTTTATGTAATGCTTTTAATTCGAATGCTTTGGATTTTTCATATGTAGGGATGTTAGTAAAGCAATGTCAGTCGATTGCTAGTGACATAGGGACTGTTAAGGTCCAATATGTCAAGGGAACAGCGAATCAAGTTGCTCATGAGTAAGCTCGGGCGACGGTTTCTTTGCCTGTCTCAGGTTCGTGGGGTGTGATCCCACCTCCGTGTATTTCCGGATTATTAAGTTGTTAATGAATCTTGTTCTGTTGTTTCAAAAAAAAAATCAATTGATAAATTTGAATGTAAAGAATTTTTACATTGGAGAAATATAAAGGCAATATAACTAATAAAATTATTTCTCTTAATTAATTTATTGATAATGAATAATTTTTTTTTAATAAAGACATTGTAGGGACAATGTAGCGAATATAATTAATTGATGAATTTGAATGTAAAGAATTTTTATATTGGAAAAAAATAAATACAATATAACTAATGAAATTATTTCTCTTATTTAATTTATTGATAATGAATAATTTTTTTGAATAAAGACATTGTAGACACATAATTATAAATTAAACAAATGCATATGTATTTTTTTTTTTTTTGTAGCTACTAAATTATTATTTATTAATTTAATAAGAGTAAAATAGAGTACTAATTATGCGAACTTTGATTGGGATGAGGTTCGAACCTAAGACCTTTTTTATTGAAACCAATGAGTAAGTTAACGGTGAATTAACAGAAATTAACGGAAAAGATAATATTTAACGGATAATCATATTCATTAAGGATAAATTAGAAAATCTTAATGAAAAATTAAAATCTGATCAATATGAACCATTCATTTAATTAAAAAATTTGACCGCCATTTTTTCTACCCATTATAGGTCTAACTCTCTTGGGCTCTTATTAGTATAGTAGATAGTAGATAGTAGATAGTAGATAGTAGATAGTAGATATATATATATATATATATATATATATATATATATATATATATATATATATATATATATATATATTTTTATTTATTTATTTATTTATTTATTTATTTAATACATTTTAACATATTCGTAGTATATGTTTAACAATTATGCCAACTCTAATTGGGATGAGGTTCGAACCTAAGACCTTTCTTATAGAAATTAATGAGTAAGTTAAAAATAATAAATAGTTAACGGAATAATCCGTTACTCAAGTTTATACTAACAGAATTTAGGTTATTTAAGGGACGAAAATAATATAATAGAGGGTAAATAGGGAAAATCATTAAAAATATACTAAAATCAAAATAATATGAACCATTCATTTTTAGAAACAATGGTACCGACATTTGTTTGTTCTAGTTAAGGGACTAAAATTATTGGCTCTTATTATAATTGTAGATGTAGATAGATTATGTGCATATAGGACATAAATTATCTACGTAAATCATATTTGAGATTAAGTAAATATGTAACATGTGTATGTGTTTTTGTTGTGAATTTTTGTGTCTCGTGTTATGAAATTCTGTACCTTAAGAGTATTGATTCTGTACTTAAAATAAATTAAAATTTATGTTGAAACTTGAAATATGTGAAACAGAAAAATTACAGAATCTATTAAAACTTAAATATCAAAACGACGTTGTTTTGATTCAGGGTCCACAATGTTATGTGAACCCAGATCCACGATATAAATTGCCGACAAGCACCGGCCTTATCTTCCTGAATCACAATTGTACTTGAAGGCTTCTCTATGAGAAAAATAAAACACCACACATAAAATTACTTCCGATATGATATTTATGTTGGGTGGCATTCATGGTCCATAGTCTGATAAATTTTTTCTCCCTTAAATAGTTAGATTGATGGTACAAATGAAGCCACGCAATTAGCTTACTTATCACGGTAGCTAATTGGAAAGGACAATATTTGATAATTTTTGTCTACCTTAGATTGTTGGTACACATGAAGCCACGCAATTAGCTTAGTTATGGAAAATACTTGATGTATTCTCATTTTATACTCTCAACTTGTATTCTCTTTCACATGTTCTTGATGTAGACACTTTTTTGTCGACTCACATGATGAAAATAACCAATCCTGGTTTGTGAGGGAGTAGAATTTGAGAGTGCAGGTAGTAGAACTCCTTACTTATTATAGTAGCTATTTGGAAAACACAATATTAGGTGTCCCAACCAAAACTATTCATTTTTTTAATGCATTAAGTATCTTAATTTATGTTAGACTAATCTTAAATCTTAATATCTCTACCCGGTTACCATCTTGTTTATACACTCCATGTACAAGGAGTCTTTATCTCCTCTAATCAGTCAAGGTCTCTTACACCATCACTGGAGCAAAACTTTAATGTAACCGATCAAATCAACTGAGCTAACCTAGCGAGACAATTATTCACTTTTTTTTACCACTCCTAGCTGACATGAAAATTTTTGATGAGTTGAGATATGAAACAAAAAAAAAAAAAAAAAAAAAAAAAAAGAGAGAAAAAATTAACGACTCAAAAATTACCAGATCAAAGAGAATTGAATGATTTTTGTAGGAGTGGGAAGTCTTTTCTATTTAAAAATTACTCATTCGTGCATTGAATTAGTTGTTTAATTTATATCGTGTTTAAATTTTAGTATTTGATCTATCTAAAAACTAAAATTTTGTTTCACATCCCTAATTTGATCGCAATTGATACCCAAATTAACAATTTTGTTCAAAATTTCACCATTCATCAATAAATTTGTTTAGTAGATATCAATTATGAGGTTAAAAGTGTAAACGGGGACTAGTTTTTTACCCTTTTTTCCCTCCATTATTTTTAAAAGTGTAAACGCTATTTTTTAATTTTTTTTTTTTTTTTTTTTGGGGGGGGGGGTGGGCGGATGGGGGGTTACATTGGAATGATCCTTTATATATCAAATGATTTAGAGTATCACCAATTGTGACAAAATTATAATTTTCTTAAAGTTTTTCACGTGATGTGAAAGAAAGAAATAGTAGGAGAGAGAATAGAGGAGATGTTGCAATGTGCTTATCCACCTGCTAAAAATGATAAGGAGTACGATGGAGACTTTGTCAACACACAAACAAAAAAAATTGTACTTATCCAATGGGCCAACCTATGACAACTAACAAAAATGGTAATGTGTTGATTTGATTGGAGAACAAAAAATAAAACAAAAATTGGAAAAATTACACTTTTCGTCCTTAAGTTATAAGATAATTGTAGAATTCGTTCTTAAGTGTTGGTCATACTCACTTTTCGTCTCTAAGCTATTATTAATGTTGCATTTTCCGTACCTTTACTAATAAACATTAGGGACGAAATTTACAATTTTAGCATAACTCATAGACGAAAAGTGAGCACGAAAGGACGAAAAGTGCAACGTCAATGATAACTTAGGGACAAAAAGTGAGTATGACCAATACTTAGGGACGAATTCTATAATTACTCTATAATTTAGGAACGAAAAATGTAATTTTCTCAAAAAATGTAATTTTCTCAAAAAATTTCAATTCATTATTTTCATAGATCAATTACTACATGTCACATTAGTAGTACATGTAATATTACTCACTTTACCTAATTTTATGTAAATTTTGAAGTTTGTATATTTATGAAAATTCAACATGCTCTTTTTCCCATCGTTATATCGTGCACCATGACGCATTTATAAAATTCTGTACATTATGTTATACAATTTTGTACATTCTATTATATAATTCTGTACATTCGAAATATGAGATTTTTTTTTAAAGAGTTTAAAGTTTATGTGTATTATGTTAAGAGTTTATGTGTATTATATATTATGTTAGATTATGTCTATTATCCTTTAAAAAAAGATTATGTATATTCTGTTACAAAATTTTGTACATTCTATTATACAATTTTGTGCATTCTATTATACAATTCTATACATTCGAAACATAAGAATTTTTTTTTTTTAAAGAAGTTAACAGCAGACACACAAAATGTACAAACGACGTCGTTTTGGGTCAGGGCACACAATGCATAGTGCGCCCTGGTGCTCCCCCCCCCCCCCCCCCCCCTTAATTTTCAATTATTAGACCCGTTAGATCGCTATTTAGCATTTGTATACCGTCTTCATTGAAAGTCTAGTTCTCATGATATATAGGCCCAATACATCGGTTGCTATAGTGTCCGATAAGTTTAAACTCAACCCCGATCATCTCTACATATAAGCCATAATTGGTTAGAGAAGATAAAAAAAAAATGAAATATAATACTTATTTTTAAGGATAAAAATGCACATTTAACATAAAAGGGAGCCGAGGAAAACTGTCACTTTTAAAATAATTTGGAGGGGTGGGGTAGGGGAGGGGGGTTGCTAATTAATGTGGAAACAATGCAATATGCATATAATTCAAGAGGAAAAAGTGTCATTTTACCTCTTAATACGATCATACAATACATTAAAATTGAATCTATATACTAAAGTTTATGAATCTATACAAACTGTTAAATGAACATGTAATACGCTAAAAGTGAATTTGTAATATACACAAATGAACCCATATTAGGCCCGTTTTGCACGATAGACCTGTGTCTAGATATAACGATTGATGGTTAAGTCAGCCATATAAGCACTTGATCACAAGTTCAATTAGGTTGTATTATGTCTATTGCATATATATCGTTAACTAGTTTTACATGCCCATTGTACGAATGGGCTAATGCCCAATGTTTATATTTAAATAAGTATTCAAAGTATAGACGACGTTTATATATAGGTAATTGAATGTTGAATTTGTTTATTTAAATATAATAGGTAATTCAAAGTATATGAATGCAAGATAATATAGGAAATTCATTATAATTGTCTTTAAAATAAATGTTAGCAACTTTATAAAATCGATAGTCTAAATACTTAGTATAAAAATGATAATGTAAATAAATACTACTTTTAATTTAAATTTCTTTAAGTCTTCTTAATTGTAAATACTTAATCTAAAAAGTAAAAACAATAGTCGTGATTTGTCTATGTTCCTTTGGTTTTGTTTACTTCTTATTTTAAACAAAATGTCAACAAAATTAATGAATATTTCTACTATAATAACTAAACAAATCATCATAAAATGCCACATTTTTATGTACTTTTTCGACATACTTCGATCCATCGCAAATTTGCGACATATACATGCATAACATTCTTTAAACAATGAATGGAAAAGCTAGCAATCCAATGATTTTTTTTTTTTTTTTTGGTTAAATGATGAAGGTGATATAGGACAAGGAAACCATGCCAACAAGTAACAAAAAGAAAAGGAATAAGGTTCAAATTGGCCACTGAACGTAACCTGAAAATGCAATTAGGCCACTGAACGAAAAAAAAAGTGCAATTAGGCCATTGAACACTCAAAAAATGTGCAATTAAGCCACTGAACTCTCCAAACATATGCAATTTTACCGGATAGCAGGTTACCATCAATTTTAGCAGGTTACCTGCTTACGTGGCAGCTTAGTTGGCATTTTTAATAATTTTTAAATAATTTTTAAATAATTTTTAATAATTAATTTTAATAATAAATTTTATAAAAAATTGGAAAAAATTAAATAAAAAATAAAATAAAGTCGTTTTTATTTTTTAAAAAATTTTTTTAATAAAAAGTTATTATTAAAATTTATTAAAAATTAATTAAAATTTATTAAAAATGCCAACTCAGCTGCCACGTAAGCAGATAACCTGCTAAAATTGAGGGTAACCTGCTATCAGGTGAAATTGCACATTTTTGGAGTGTTCAGTGGCCTAATTGCACTTTTTTTTGGTTCAGTGGCCTAATTGCATTTTCAGGTTACGTTCAGTGGCCAATTTGAACCTTATTCCAAAAGAAAAATACTCTTAAATGAATTCAAAAGATGAATTCAAAAGCTTTCTAATTGTATTTAAAATTGAAATTTCTGATTGTATTTAAAATTGAAATTTCTGGATACAAAAACTTGTTTAAATAGAAAACTAGGAAAATGGAAGAGTTGCAAATATTCATAGATTGAGTTTTTGAACTCAAGTCATTACTATTACTATTAGATGGGGATTCGCCACAACTCTATTGTTCTATGATCTCGAAGTTACCGGAATAGCAAATATTAAAATCATGGATGAGAAATGTAAAATAAACTTAAAGAGAATTTGAAATTTTAATAAAAATTAAAACTAATTCAAATTTTCAATAAAATGTAGCCACCAAACTTCATGCATGTGAATAATTTTTTATTATTGCCTCAATAATTCATGTACCACGTCACATAAGAAGGAAACCTGCAGTCACTACTCTGTGAGTGTGCACGAACGAATAAATTCACCCTTGTTTAATAGTTCACAAACCGACACATACGAATTAAAATAAACCGTACTAGCAAGCCAACGACTTGTTATTACATACATTGATCGACAAACACGTACAGATATATAACCAAATTTCTAAATAATTACTAGGAACATATAATGCATGTTGATAGAAATGGATATTTTTTTCTTAAATTTTGATAAGAACCTTGACACAATTTGGTTGTTTTAACAACTCAAATGCCTTGCTTGTTTCTTCCAGGGAGACTTCATGAGTTAACAACTTTTCTAGCTGGATTTTCTGTAAGAAGAAAAGGTATATACAAGTGTCATCCTTAACTAGAAATCAATTTTTAAAAAATCAATTAAAAAAATATAATTAAGTGATTATACCTTGGTTATGCACTTGTTAACTCGAACACCACCAAAAATTGATCCCTTAAATGTTCGACCACTAAACAAGATAGAGGCAACACTAATTTTCCAAGTTTCATCAAGTCCTGCCCCAATTACTACCGTCGTACCAGTTCCCTAGTCATATATATTCAGTGACAATAATTAATATCTCAAATTTGTGTGTAAGAATATATATATATACATATATATATATATATATATATATATATATATATATATATATATGTATATATATATATATATATATATATATATATATATATATATATATATATCCATAATCAAATACGAACGGAAGGATTGCACTGCACTAAGATATGATTGTACCGTAAGGTCCTGGCCTCCCGGCATGTCTTGGACCCGTAGCAATGCAATCATGTAATAGTTACAATACAATACTTTAAAAGTTCGCAAGTTTGTAGGTTAAGGTTGGTTCGCACCTGATTACGATTATATATATATATATATATATATATATATATATATATATATATATATATATATATATATATATATATATATATATATATATAAGGATGCACTCAGGTGCGAATTAGTGCTCAGGAGGGAAATGCGAACGAATCAGCGCGCGACACGTGTCCAGATCTAATAATTTAAAAAAAAAACGCGGTGGCATTTTCGTAAATAATTGAACATCGAAGTACAAGTAAAATCACTTACAAGTGCACCTACTTTCACCTATAAGTGCATGTAATTTTACATTGTTAGCATTCACTTTCCGCAAACATTCATGCACCTGGGTGTGCTTTTAACTATATGTGCAACTATTTATAACTATAGGTGCAACTACTTATAACTATAGGTGCACCTACTTTCACGTATAAGTGCATGTAATTTTGCCTTGTTAGCATTCACTTTCCGTAAACATTCATGCACCTGGGTGTGCTTATAACTATATATGCAACTATTTACAACTATAGGTGCAACTACTTATAACTATAGGTGCACCTACTTTCACCTATAAGTGCATGTAATTTCGCCTTGTTAACATTCATTGATCTGAGTTCAGCGGGTAGTAATACCGCTGACAACCACTCGCAAACATTCATACACCTAGGTGCAACTACTTAGAACTATGTGTGCAACTACTTAGAACTATAGGTGCAACTAAGTATTGATGCTCAGTGTAAATTTTTACTTGCACCTATAATACATTTTACATGCACTTGTAATACATTTTACTTGCACTTCGATGTTCAATTATTTACGAAAATACCACCGCGTTTTTTTAAAAAATCAGTGTTTCTCATCCATTAGATCTGGACACGTGGACGAACAGAATTCATTCCTATTTCGCGCCTGGGCGAAGCATTCGCACCTGAGTGCGATTCTATATATATATATATATATATATATATATATATATATATATATATATATATATATATATATATATATATATATATATATAGGCGGGTTCAGGTGCGACACTGTCTTACGGTGCGGTTATTTCTTACGGTGCGGCAACACCAATAGTTCAACAAATATGCACCATCAACGTTAGAAAAATACACCACACAAAACAGAGCCCTGCATCACCAAACACACACCATTAGGTGTGAGTAAAAACACCATACACTGTTCGGAAATACACCATTGGGGGTGGTGAGTTATATGGTGTATTTTTTTGAGTCTGTTGTGTATTTTGTGATGTTTTATTGCATTTCATTGTGGTGTGTTTTTATTACACTGTTGGTGCATATTGTTAACATTGTTGGTGTATTCTGGAATTTGACCGCACCGCCGCACGGTAAGACCCCGCCGCATATGAGCGCTCTTCTATATATATATATATATATATATATATATATGTTGGCATATTTTCTATAATAAATAATGTTGGCAATTACCCCTCACTTATAAAGGAGAATATAATACTTTTGAAGAAAAATGTAATACTTTTAAATCGAAATGTAAAAGTATTACATTTTCCCCAAAAAAAAATTAATTAGTGTTTGTGTTAATGTAACTTACCACCTCATTCAAAAAAAAAAATGTAACTTACCACTTTTGTTGCATCAATAGCTTCATTAAGTAAAGCAGGAACTCCTGTACACTCGAAAGCATAGTCAGCACCTAGTCCTTCTGTGACATCCTTAACCAATTCCGAAATTTTTTTATCAGAATTTTTAGGGTTTATGAAATCAGTCATCCCAAATGCCTCTCCCTTCTCACGCTTAAAGTCATTGATATCAATCCCAATTATTTTGGTTGCCCCTTGCTCTTTAGCTCCTGCAATCACCTGCAATGTAAGAGATACCCACAATTAGGAATAAATTAATTGAGATGGTGGTATTTTTATAAATAAAGTAATACTTTTAATTTCATTATTTACAAAAATATCAAACTTCTTGTCCACAAAAGTTCAATTTTCTCGTCCGTCTCTAGGCCTGGCATGATAGTGAATGGTAAATCATTACAGTAACTCAATTGCTCACATTGTAACTATCCAATCATTATTGCATGGACTGTGGTCCACAGAACTGTGTTAATCACGTTACAAAAACACATAAAATACATTATTCTAACTCATAAAGTACAAGCGCGTGGAGCAAGAATTTTTTTAAACATCAAAACGACGTTGTTTTGGACCGTGGTCCACACAATAATTTGTCGTAACTGTCAGGACTTGATTTTGTGTCATTGCCCACAATTTATCACTTATAAACCAACTAATTTGCAAAAATTATACTATGGCCCATTGTCAACATTACAATGTGGACCACAAATAAATATTCATTTTTGGTATAGATAAATATTTATTTTTAGTATATTGAATATTCATTTTAATGTATTGAAATTCATTTTTTGATAATATAGTTAAAAAACGAACTTTCAACATGCACACAAAAAATGAACCTTCGAAAAATGAACATTTAGTATATATTAATAATAAACTTTAAACCAGCTTGGTTGGCCTAAGTGACTGTGCACTCTTGTCCCTTAAGAGAGCTTGGGAGTTCTAACCCTCTCTTGTATGGAAAACTAATTTGGCCCGCACTTTGCCCCTTAATTGGGCCAGCCATGTACGAACAAAAATTAATTTGAGTATGGTACAAGATTAAAGGTGCCTCCTACCATTAATTTTACTCAGGACACCTCGTGATCGTTATGATCATTGTGATTGCTGATCGAGCTACGCTGCTTGTGTGCAACAAATATCAAAGTTGTTTTGCATTATTAGTATTTGAAATTGTAAAACTTTTTAGTACTTACCCCAAATCCAACGGTACCAAGACCGAACACGACAACCGATGAGGTGTTTTCGACGTGGATTGCCCTTGAGGGTGCCCCAAAACCCGTCGTGAATCCACAGGACAGGAAGCTAGCATGTGGGAGAGGGAGGCGGGGGTCGATTTTAGCGACGTAATTAGCGTCACTAACAACGTATTCCGACCATGTGGCGCAACTAAAGGTGTGATATAGTCTTTGGCCTCTAATGGATATTCTTGACGTGCCATCCGGCATTAAACCACTCTTTGACCAAGGATATTTGAGGCATAAATTGGACTTTCCTGATTTGCAATTCAAGCATTCTTTACATTCTCCTAAGTAAACGGTGATCACTAAATCTCCTTCTTTTAGGTCTCTAACATTCTCACCAACACTTTCTATCTGTCTACATTAGACATATGCAATACAAGAAAGAAAAAAGGTTAGAAAGGTCATTTGATAAATTGAAAACGACAATCAAGTTTTTTTTTTTTTTTTTTTTTTTTTTTTGGTTTTGTTTTTGTTTTTTGTTTTTTGTTATTTTGTTATTTTTTTTTTGTTTTGTTTTGTTTTTGTTTTTTGTTTTTTTTTTTTTTTTTTTGGGTGAAAACAATGACAATCAAGTTGGCAAACTTAAGAACATCTCCAATGGTTATAGTTTTTTTAAAGAGTTTCTGCCGGTGTGACTAGGAAAGAGAAAATGGGGGAGAAGTGAAAAAAACAAAAACAAAAACCAAAAAAAAAAAAGAAAAGAAAAACAAAATCTCTGAAAAGCAATATATATATATAGAGATTAGGGTCTGATCTACATTAGATTAGGCTCTGCATTAGATTAGGGTCTGATCTACATTGAGAGAAATTTTAATTATCATTTTCCCTTTACGTAGAAGGTATTTCATCCTATTTATTTATGGTATTTTTATTAGTTATTGCAATTGAGATTAGGGTCTGATCTACATTGAGAGAAATTTTAATTATCATTTTCCCTTTACGTAGAAGGTATTTCATCCTATTTATTTATGGTATTTTTATTAGTTATTGCAATTGTAATTGGAGCTTAGTAATTGTATTTGTTTATTATTATTATTATTATTATTATTATTATTATTATTATTGAGTGATGAGAGAAACTCAAGGTTATTATCTGAGGGTCAAACTTTTAATCTTATTATAGTTATTATAAGTCAATAGTCTGACCAACTTGGCTGAAGTTGTTCCTATTTATTTATTATTTTTAGTTATAACTATGGTAATTGAATTGTATTCCTTATCTAACTTAAATTTAAATTCAAAAAAATCAATTTATCACTTCAATATAAGCATATATTATTTCTTTGACCCAAGGTTTGTTGTACCTTAAAAAACATCCCAAATCATATCATGAACCTTGTTCTTTTGGCTGCATTTCTAGCTAATGTTAACTTACCCGACTCCTTCGTGTCCAAGTACTCGTGGAAATAGTGGCTGAAAATGTAATAAAAAAAAAACTAGTTAAGTCAATTTTGTTAATCAAACTCGACATATATATAAAATAAAAACTATATATATATATATATATATATATATATATATATATATATATATATATATATATATATATATATATATGAATCTTGATCATATGAGAACCACTCTTCAGGTCAGAACTTGTGAACAAATTCAAACTATTGATCTACAAGATTTCATGGATGAGAAATTAAATAAAAAATGAGCGGAATCATTTTCATAAGAATTAATTTCACTTTTGGTCCCACGACTTTTGATGTTCTATCACTTTTGGTGCACAACTTTAAAATTTTTTAATTTTGGTGCCTAACTTTGTTATTTTTATCAATTTTGGTCCTTTCGGCCAAATTGACAGTTAAATGTTGTTGGATTTTATATTGTTAGGGGTAAAATCGTCATCCCAAGGAAACATCTTCAATATCTAAACAAAATCACCGTAAAATCATATCTATAGGTGTTTGATGATGAGAATAATGGGGAAGATGGGCAGAAACCAGACAGATCTATGAGATTTATAGTTTCGACCATTGGCAAACTCTTCTTTTCCTCTTAATATGATTTTTCTTTTGTTTAAATATTGAAGATCTTTCCATGGGATGACGATTTTGCCCCTAAAATATAAAATCTAGAAATATTTTACCATCAATTTGGCTAGAAGGACCTAAACTGATAAAAATAACAAAGTTAGGTACCAAAATTGAAAAAATTTAAAGTTGTGCACCAAAAGTGATAAGAACTCAAAAGTCGTGGGACCAAAAGTGAAATTAATTCTTTTCATAAATATACGAAGTTTTGTTTATTTTCAACAGTTAGATCTATTAGATCAATGGTTTGGATTTGTCCACACGTTCTCACCTGAGGCATCATTCTCTAACATATATATATATATATATATATATATATATATATATATATATATATATATATATATATATATATATTTATTTATTTATTTATTTATTTATTTATTTATTTATAGGATGAAATTAAGAATGGATGGATACTAACAATAGGAAAACCATTGTGAAATAGAACATCTGTGTGGCACAAACTGGAAAACAACATCTTGATTCTAACTTCTGAACATTTTGGTGGATCTACTTCTATCTCTTCCACCTTCAATGCCTCTCCCTTTTCCCATGCCACAACCCCTGAAACCATCAACACCGCAACCACAACCTCATATCACTAAAAATTAAAATAATTTTTCTCCTCCCTTTCCCCCAAAAAAAAAAAAAAAATTAAATAATTTTTAAAATTAAAATAACACGAACTATACGTAATATGAGAGTATTGATCCTTTACTCAATTAATTTTTTTTTTTATTTGGTTTTGTTTTAGATGATGATCTAGGATGTAGAGTAGTGTACCTTTACATGTGATGGTCCTTGGGCTTCTTGGATCCATTCTCTCTGATTTCAATTGTATATTGATGATGGACTATGAAGAATGCATTGTATCTAGATAGCTTCTACTTGCTTCTATATATATACACACTTTCCGTCTTTTACCTTCTTTGAGAAAATTATATTAAAATGGGACGACTACAAAGTGGTAACCAGTTTAGATTGTTCATAATTGTCCGGTTCAAACTAAAAAAACTAATAGACAAATGTTATGAAAAATAAAATTTAAAATCTTGTAGCTATTAAATCAACTATTCAATCAACTTGGTGGTTGGCTCCGATTGTAATATTACATTTTCTCATTAGATATTTATTCAATTATGTAACATGTGGTGTTATTTCACTAACACCTTTAAATAAATGAAACTAAATGTGGCATCTTTTAATATGATAACATATTTATGAGGGAAGAAAGAAAATCATAATCATTACTGGAAATATAATAATACTTTTGTTCGCAGCCTTAGATTTATGGTACCCATGAACCCACGCAATTAGCTTATTTATTATGGTAGTTATATGTTGAAAACTGTTGCAAAAATCACGCATAGGCGGCGCCCTGCCGCGTTGAGGAACGCCAGAATCGGTCTCTTCTGCGGCCGGCCATCTAGGCAGCCACCTGAGCGGTCTAGGTGGTCGTCTAGCCGGCCGAATTTCTCTTCTTTTTTTTTTTTTTTTTTTTTCAAGTTATTCGTCAAAACGATGTTATTTTGACGAATAATTTGAAGAAAAAAAAATCGGACGTCTAGCATCTTTTTCAACACTGGTGTTGGACAAGTTTCAACCTTGGGAGGTGAGTCGATCCGCAGTTAGGGCTGTATTGATTCTTTTTGCTTCAGTAGATTGAAAGAGTAATTATGGATAAATACTACATTGTGCTTCAAGAGGAGTAGTACTCAAAAAATATATGTAACGTATAAAAATATACTATTAAAAATTAAAATTTTAATTCTAAACTTTTAAATGATGCCTGATACTGCTAATTACACGTAAGCAATATGAAATAACTCGAGACCAAATAAAGCAAGTAAATGTCTTTATTGATCACGGTAAAGGCCCTAAGTACAATCTACTTGGTTGCTCTGAGTACCGACTGACTGCGGTCGGGATTCTCTAACAACAACCTATCGATCGTCCAAAAGTCCCCCACACTGTAGCTACTGTGGGTATTTATAGCCGTTATGCCGGGGACAAGTCTCCAGCCGTTCGGCATGTCCTCCACGTAGCCACCACGTGTCATCCTCCCGGGTGCCCTGTCTGTCGATGTAGAGATCCACCACGTGTCCTTCGTCAGCTCTCCCGCCAAAGGGCTACCGCTCGGTGGTTGACATCGTCGTTCGGGCAACTCCCGGTCGGACCCCAACCGGGTTCTTCACAAGGAGCCCAACCTGTTACCTGCAAAGACAAAGAGAAAAGGGCAAAGGCTTCTCGATCGTGGTGAAGCTGTGTCGGTCGGGATATTCCCTACCAAGAGCCCCCCAGCCCGGGCCTTTTTGATCGACCGGGAAAAAATGGGCTGGGATGAAGAAGCCCAACCGTCGGCCACTAAACCGACCGGCCAGCTATCATTCCCCTCCTCGCCACGTGTCGGCCACTGCCGGCCTCTGCGACTGCAACCGTCACCTCGGAGTCAGAGCTGGTTGTGTCACGCAAGTGGATGATTTTCCCGCCCAAACGCCCTCCTATAAATAGGCCCCTGAGGCCTTCATTTAAACTTTCCTCAATCTTCTGAAGCAACCGGCACCCTCAGAGAGTCCCGAGCATCAGTTCATCGAACCAGTCGAGCAAAGCCAAGCTTCAAGTTCTCTCCCTCGTGCAAAGTACCAGCAATCGGTAAGCTCTTGATCCCTCTGCTTTTTACTTTGTTTTTAGCTTCGAGTAGGAACATGATAGGACTAACTTTGAGCTAACCTCCCGATCCTGTACTAACCCCGACCGACCTTTAGGTAGAAAACATGTCGGATTCAGATAGCCAGAATGCCTCAATCACAGACTACGACGACGCAATCGAGCACAGCAGCGAGGAGGTGGACATCATGTCCTACTCCCCAGAGGTCGAACAACGACCAAGCCCACTCCCGACCAAGCCCCCGAGCTAGCAGGGTCATCAAGCTCGTCAGGGACCTCGGGGTCGAGCTCCAGCGGGTCGGGGAGCGAAGAAACGTCCACGAGCGGACGAAACCTCCCGGACGAAGGCGTTAGGGAAACGCCCACGAGGGTAATAGGGGATTACCCTCGAGCCGAGCCTGAGGGCGGAGACCGGGCCAACGAGGCCGAAGGGGACGAAGAGGACCCGACCGGGCCGGCGCCGCCGGGCGGGGACGGGTTTGAGTTCCTCAATAGCGAGAGCGTTGAAGGCCAGAAGAGCTTGCTGACAAAAGGAGAAGCAAGCAAAATTGTGGCAACTCTTGCTGGTCGGGTCGAGTTCAATACCAGCAGACAGCTCGGAAATATCATCGAGCGGCACCAAGGGAAATGGATCGGGCTGCATTACGATTCGCTAATGGCCCCGATCACATTCCCCTTTTCCAGCCTCCTCACAGCTTTCTTGGGCTACTACCAAGTTATGCCCGGGCAGATTTGCCCGAACGTGCACCGAATAATCGCGTGCTTCCCCCAGATCTGCCGTCGACACGACGTGGCCTGCACCATGGAACTCTTCAATTTCGTCTACCAAGTGAAGGTGCTAGCGGCCGCGTACGGGGGTGGATTTCTGATGATACAATCCCGAGCGGATAGATGCTCGATCGAAGGGCTGCCCGGGAACAACCGGGGGTGGAAGAACCGGATCTTCTCCGTAAAATACGATCCGTGGATCCTCCCGGTCGAGAGGGTTTGGAGTCAGCGTTTTCGAAAGCAAGTCACGCCAGTCGAGACCCCGACCCTCATCGATGCCGTGACCAGGATCTCGGGCGAGATCTACGAATACCACATCTTCAAATCGCCCGAGTGCTACGAAGCGGCCCGGCTACCCGATCCGGTCTACGACCAGACCGAGAAGTATAAGCCCGAGCCGGCAGGTGTAACGATCGCCCGGATGCCCGCTCGGGGCAAGAGGAAGGGTAAAGCTTAAAGCTAACTTCTTTCCCGATCCTTAGCATTCTGAGCGTATATTCTCTATCGTCCCGAGTTGACTAACTTTCTTCTTTGTTTGCAGCCATGGCGGAGTTCGGAGACGAAGATGCCCCCCTTCCCCCGCCCGCCAAGATCTCCCTTGGCGGCAAGAAGAAGGCGAAGGCGAAGCCAGCCGGGGAAAAGGAGATCCCGACGGCCCGACCCCTACCTACCTCGACCGTCACGACGGCGGAGGGCTTCGTCGTTGAGCCGACGGACATCTTGGTCACACGGGTGGAAGTCGCCCGGGGCAAAGAGAAAGTGCCCGAGCAGGGCGTGACTGAGGTGGGCGGTATAAAGCGCCGCCGAGAACAGCGCAGCCCGAGCCCTTTGGTCGGGCGAGAAAGGGACGTTACGTCCATACTGGCCCGGATCGGCAACGCCGGGCCAGTTAGGGAGGATTTGGGGAAGATGACCCCGACCCAAGTGGCCGAGAAGATTGGCTACGATCTGGCCGAGGTAAGCTCTCTTCCATTAACTCTCTCTTTTATGCAAATGTTTTCGACCGGGCTAACGCCGAACATCTTCTTGTACTGCAAATTTCCCGTGCGGCCCAACTCCTTCAAGGTCGGGCCATGCTGGCCGAGGAAGCCGACCACCACAAGAAAACGGCCGCTCGTCGCTTGAAGGAAATCAAGGACATCCAGGCCGAGCTGGAGAAGGCCCAGAAGGGCCTGAAAAAGAGCGAGGAAGACCGGGTCCTCGCAGAGAAAGTCGCCCAACGGGCGATCGGGGAGGCGAGAGAGCTGAAGGCCCGGCTCGATAACCCGAGCGAGCTGGTGCAGACTGTCTTCAAGGACAGCGAGTCGGGCTCAGCGTTTCTCACGGCGGCCCGGGGAACTAAGGTCGGAGAGGACCTGATCGTCTCCTTCAGCCGATGGGTGTTCAAGTCCGGGCAACGCAAAATGCTGGAGCGGGCCCGTACCCGGTTGGAGCAAGCTCTCGACGGAGAGGATCTTCAGCTGGTCCTGTCGGCTTTACCCCCGGACCTAGCCGACCCCGGCCCCTCCCCCTTCGCTCCCAAGGAAAAGGCGGCCGAGCCTGGGGCATCGTCGGCGGCCACTTCGAGCGGGAAGGAGGCAGCTGCCGAAGCTCGGGAATTGAAGAAGTAGAATAGGCTTCTTCTGTTTGTAGAAACACTGATCGGGAGCCCGGTCCCGAATTTGTACCGGGCACTCTTTTTCCAATCAATGAAACTCATTTTTGTTAAACTTATATTGTTCGTCTTTCTTTCTGCTTTTTTACTTTTAGTCATGCACATGCCGACCCTTAATGCTCGACCTCATGGCCTTTTGGCCCGGCCCTGCACTACTCGATCCGTTCAACGCCCGACCTTATTTCTTTATGGCCCGGTCGTGCATCCGAGATTTCGACATCAAACTGGCCAACCTGATCGGGTTTACCCGGTCTCCAGGCCTTGTCAAAATTCTTGAAAATAAGTAAGCCTCTACGGTCGGGATACTTCCGAACGACGGGCCTGTAAATACTTCCTTCATCCCAGCCCCCACACTATTGTGCTCTCATGGCACGAGTGAGTGCAATAGTGGATAAGAAGTGATCAGATCGGGGAATTATGCTGTGTGCTCCTGGCTTCCCCGACCGGTGGCGTGACTCGAATGTCCGCCGATGTGGAGCGCATCTGACCGGTCGATAAATTCGCCCGGTCGGTGTAGCTTGATAAATTGATCTGTGTGCACCGAAGGTAAAGAAAATGACATTAAAACCTTCCCGCTCGCAGGCGGTTAAACAAGTATTTACAATCATAAAGCTTAATTACAACCGACGACCAGGACCTACTCGCAGGTCAAGCCCCCACTTCGTCAAAAGTTACATAAAATAGGCTTAATGCCTAAACATAACGAGGTGCTCGGAATTCCAAGTTCCCTCGATTACCCGACCAGTTGTCGTCTCCAGTCGGTATGTACCCGGCCGTATGATCGCGCCGATG